TTCTCCATGTAATTCCCTCTTTCTGTGTACGTATCCTGTTTTTGTGTTTCTTGTCAAATATATATTTCCTATTTATTTTTTTTCTTTTCTCTTTCCTCTATGTCAGACAGTCACTCTCGTCTCTCGTCTCTCTCTATCTCCCTCTCCCTCTCCATCTCTCCATGTAATCCACTCTTTCTGTGTGCTCGTATCCTGTGTTTGTGTTTCTTGTCTTCTCCGCCTCCCAGCTTTTATCTCTTCTGAACTCTACATATCATTTACAACACTATACTTGTGCTTTACCCCTGTTACTGTATTTTTCCTAAATATCTTTACTACTCGTGTCTACCACATTTTGCTTCATTACCCTTTCTCTTCCCCTTTCCCATTCCCCTTTCTCTTCCCCTCTTCCCCTGCGTTTATTCCCTTTCGTTATTCTTCCTAGTCTACGTTTTCTTTTCCATGGCCTTCGTCCTTATAGTTTCTTATTTCTTTACTTTATCATTCTCTTAAATTCTTCGCTCATTCTTATCAGAATTTTTCCTTTGGGAGGGAGAGGAGAGAAAGAGAAGGAGAGGGAAGAAAGGGAAGGAAAGTGGAAGGGAAAGAGGAAGAGGGAGGAGGGACCGATGAAGAGAGATGGGGGAGGGGAGAGGAGGGGAGGGGAGAGGAAGGAAAGGGAGCGATGAAGGAAGATGGAGGAGGGGAAGGAAAGGGAAAGGGAAAGGGAAAGGAAAGGGAAAGGGAAAGGGAAAGGGAAGGGAAGGGAGCGATGAGGGAGAGGAAAGGAGGGGAGGGGAAAGGAGGAGATGGGGGAGGGAAGGAAAGGGAAGGGAAGGGAAGGGAAGGGAAGAGGGAGGAAGGGAAGGGAAGAGGGAGGGCAGGGAAGGGCAGGGAAGAGGGAGGGAAGGGAGCGATGAAGGGAGATGGGGGGGGAGGGGGGGGTAAGAGAAGACACCGAATGGAAGAAAGTTAAGTGGAAAAGTTGAAACACAAAAGAGTTACACCGTGCGTGCTGAGGACAGGAGACTAGGGTGGGGGGTGGGGGGGAGGGTCATAGGGAGTAAGGAAGGAGGAAGGAGGGGGGAGGGGGGGGGAGGGGGGAGGGGTGTGTCAAGGTGGACTAGCTGCTGCGGCCAACTGCGGAAGCTCTTTTGAAGAAAATGGGAAGAGGAGGCGGGGAAGAAGACAAAGGGAGGGAAGAAGGGAGGGGGAGGGAGAGGGGGGGGGAGAGAGAGAGAGAGAGAGAGAGAGAGAGAGAGAGAGAGAGAGAGAGAGAGAGAGAGAGAGAGAGAGAGAGAGAGAGAGAGAGAGAGAGAGGGGAAGAGAGAGAGAGAGAGGAGAGAAAAAAGAGAGAAAGAGGAGAGAGAGAGAAAGAGGAGAAAGAGAGGAGAGAGGAGAGAGGAGACAGAGACAGAGACAGTGACAGTGACAGTGACAGTGACAGTGACAGAGACAGAGACAGAGACAGAGACAGAGACAGAGACAGAGACAGAGACAGAGACAGAGACAGAGACAGTGACAGTGACAGTGACAGTGACAGTGACAGTGACAGAGACAGAGACAGAGACAGAGACAGTGACAGTGACAGTGACAGTGACAGAGACAGAGACAGAGACAGTGACAGTGACAGTGACAGTGACAGTGACAGAGACAGAGACAGAGACAGAGACAGAGACAGAGACAGTGACAGTGACAGTGACAGTGACAGAGACAGTGACAGTGACAGTGGCAGTGGCAGTGACAGTGACAGTGACAGAGACAGTGACAGAGACAGAGATGGCGATGGAGCTAAAGGTATTTAGAGATAGATAAAGGGATAGTTGAATGGACAGACAGAAAGACAAACAGAAAGACCGAAAGACAGACAGACAGTGATAGATAGAAAGTCAAACAAAAAAACAGAAATAGTGAAAGAAAAAAAATGAGAAAGAAAGACAATAACAACAAAGAAAAAAAAGAAAAAAAAAAAAAACAAGACACACGAAGCTGCTGTTGGCACTGAAGTGACACCCACGGCCCTGGCACCGTTTAATTAAGGGACAGGTATGCGGAGTCAAGTACCACTAATACCTGGCGACATCGGATCTCCTCTCGACGCGTCCGGATGTGCCGCGGATGATATTGGATACGTCTTCGTTTAAGAGAATGTCGACTTCGTTTACTTTCGGGGGTGAGGGGGGGGGGGTGAGGAGGGGGGGTGAGGGGGTGAGGGGTAGGGTTAAGGGTACTGTGGTCATTGTCAGCTGTTCGATATTTATTTATTTGTTTTATTTATTTATCTGTTTATTTGTTTATTTATTATTTTTATTTATATATATTCATTTATATTTACATTATTTATTTTCTTTATTTTATTCATTTCGTTTATCTTATGTATTATATTTATCTTATTTATTTTATGTATTTTATCTATTTCATTTCATTTATTTTATATACTTATCTATTTGTTTTTCTTTTTTGTTTCTTAGATTATTATTTTTTTTATTGAAGCATTGATCATTTTGGGTAGTTTCTTCTT